ATTAAGCAAAGGGTAAACCAAAACAGTAGATTTTAATATCTGAACTGTGTTATCAGGACAAGGATGTATTTTATCATGGTCAAGTCAGAGCAAGTTGTCACATTTTTATCAGGGTGAGCTGTCACATATTTAATTTTATTTGAATTTATCAACTGCTCTTTTTGGCAGTTTGCGTTTTCCATTTTTGGCAGTTTTATAAATTGTTCATTTTAAATGCTGCTTAAAGCTCCCAAATAACTAAATACAATTTAAATACATGTTTAATACTTATATGCCCTAAAAGGCTTGATTTATGTTAGATAATGTTGTCATATCTGACATGTCTGACTGAATTAAATAATAAACAAACAAACAAAAACTATTTTACATCTATATCCGTTTTCTCCTATATGATAGCCTACTGCAAATTGTTTTCAATATTTCTAACTTTCTAATTTGTACTGTGTATTAATCAATAATCAGTTACTTTGTGCATTATGTTGAATAATATTTGTTATTGAAGATATTTAAAATGGGTTACATGACGATTTTACAGGAGGTATTTGAACATAACAAAGTAAGAATTTCTGGAAAAGAAGTGACATTCCTAAATGCATTTTTGGGAGAGGTAAACCCATATAATTTTTTCAGTGAACTGCTGGAGCATATAAGCAGCGCTCACCTTGCTCCGGCATCAGCTGTTTCATCTGTTTCCTTCACCTCCCCAAATCCACGAACAAAATGTAGGCATCTTGCTATCCATACTTATCTTCCAAGCATTTGTAGCTGTCTCCTTCAGTCCCTCCAATGCGGACATCAAGCCAAATGTGTTTATGCCCAGTAGCTAAAGATTATATGGGCAAAACAAAACTTATGAAATATTACCAATTCTGTATTAGAAGCCTGGTATTATTGTATGTGTTTTATTCATTTTGATTGACCCGTGAAAGCAATCAGAAAGATAATGTAACTGATTATTTTTATTGTGATTATTTCCAGTATCCCTGTATGCAACCAACCCTGCATACTTCAGAGGCTTTACTCTTATCGCTCTGAAGGAAGGGCACAATGGTGACCAAGAGGAGGATTATGCTGGAAATTTCCAGGTGAGAATCTGACCAAAGTCATGCACACTAGCAATGCAAATGCACACTTGGGAAACATAATTCTCTGTGATGTAAAACATGGTAAACCCCCAAAATAAAACTCTGCGTACCCATATAATCATATAATGCATTAGACTAGAAAAATAAATTAGCTGATCAGCTTTTTAAAGGAAGGCTTTGGCATATGTGTCTGTATCTAATCAAACCAAAATTTCTGGCATGTCAGAAATTCATCTGACCATTTGATTGCTGGTCAGAAGAGGCTACTCACTTCTTGTTACCCCGTGTACACTGCACGTCAAAAAAAGACGCACGACAAATCTGAAATTCGGCTGACTCAAAAAAGAGTCACACAAGTCAGAATTCGGCTCAAAATTTAAAGAAAATTACACAGTGGATGCCTGGCCTAAGATGGTTGTTCATTTTCTAAAAACAAATGAAGACATTTTTAATGAAACCTGAGCTCTCTCTCTCTCCATGGAAAGTCAATGCAACCAAATCTAGACAGTTCAAAAAGTTAATACAACATTGTGAACATAATCCATATGAATCAATTGTCAAGCATTTGATGAGCTATATATACAGTATGTGCACTGATAAATGTTTATATGGGAATAAAGCATACATTAAATTTGTTCATCATATCAAGTAGGGATGCACCGAAATGAAAATTCTTGGCCGAAGCCAAACAAATTGCTTGAAACACTGGGCCGTAGGCCAGATACCGAACACGGTTTTCCCCCATGTATTTAGATTTTTTTTTTCACCATTGCATAAATTAAATAGCCAAAATATGCTTTTTCGTCTTGCTTTTCAAAGAAAAAATCAACAAAAACTTAACACTTTGAGTAGCAAATCAGCATATTAGAATGATTTCTGAAGGATCATGTGACACTGAAGACTGGGGTAATGATGTTGAAATTTCAGCTTTGATCACAGCAATCAATTACACTTTAATATATGCTCACATACAAAACTGTAAACATTTTAATAATATTTCACAATATTACTGTTTTTGTATTTTTTATTGTCCAAATAAATGCAGACTTGCTGAGCAAAAGAGACTTCTTTTAAAACATTAGAAACTATTACATATCCCAATTTAAAATATAACATATAACACTATGTGTGAATATAATAATACATTTATTAATAGCAGTGTTAATTTTGTTGACGAATAATTTATCATAATTTTCATCAACAACATTTTTTTCACTGACCACGAGATGATGACAAACTAAAACTCTTTTTGAATGACAAAAACTATGACAAAAATGTATTGACATTTTCATCAACGAATAAAAACAACACGAAAATGTTAGGGTGCGATGATTTGGGAAGAGATTTATTGAGAACGAATCTGCTGCATAGTTAGGAGGTTAGATGCGTACATATGAACCGGCGGGACATAAGCTAAAATACACTTGCTGCACGTCTCATAAAACGTTCAAAAATGTCAATATGTGGGAGTAAGAGAAGAGCAGACATATAGATAAATCTGACGATGCAAGAGAGAACTCAATTCGGTCCGGTGTTCTGTCGATGTGTGCAACCCTGTCAGATTTTGCTACCTCCCATTAAACAATACAATTCGACAACGAAAAATGCTGCCTGTAAAATTATGGTTTATTAATGTCTACACCTACCCCAACCCTAAACCTACCCTTACAGTAATGCAAATACAGTAATTATGTGTTATATTCGCGGTTGTGGCTAGAAGGGATACAGCTACCGGGAACCAACAATAAATAATTTTTTCTACCTATTATATTGTGTTTTATTAAAGTCTACACCTACCCCAACCCTAAACCTACCCTTACAGTAATGCAGATACATTAAATATTGTTGTTCAGCGTGAGAAAAAGGATGCAATATTGATGTGCGCATGCGCAGTAAACCCTGGTAGGACAATCTGACGGGTAGGATAAAATGTCAGGACACAGGTTTTCTGAGTGCAAACACTGAAGCATACACACACAGAAAGCGCGTCTCACAGCACACAAGTACTCTCTCGCGTCGCATGAATGGAGAATTACACACAAAATGATGTCAAATTGTCTGTTTTGACGAGTATTCACGTAAACAATTGATTATGTCTTCAGTGAACGTTAACAGTAGGGTGAACGTGTATCAGTATATTGCATCCATTGCAGCCGTGCATTCGGTTTTAAAGGGACAGCAGCCTAATTTATTTGCTATTGTCCGAGTCATTGATGTTAATCAAGCAACAACAGAAAGACAGAAAATCACTCACTACTCTTGAATGAAAAACTTTAGTAGCCCTAAAGATTAATCTAAATGTATTTATAGAAATAAATATGTCTGCTTGAAAGAATGAAGAATATGGTAAACAAGTTGCTATAAAGAATGCATAATTAGCCTATATAACCATTGGTATTTCATTAAAAATAAGTTCTTGTCCTTTATGAGAAGTTGGTTCCCTTTCAAGGGAACTTCAAACTGCGTCCTCTAGGGGTCGCAATGGGGAACGCCTCGTCGTGACCCGTGTCTGAAGCATACATTGAAAAAACACCAACAGCACGTTGGCCGGCGACAGCCATGACGTCACTACCGGTGCGACTATAGTATAAATAGGTGCCGGGAGAACACATCATCCCCTTCTTCGTTTTCACTGACGGTTTTGTTTGAAGCGTGCCTACCCAATCCTCCTGCCCTGCGTATGATGAGTTTTGGAAGTTATGGATCACGCCATGGCGAGGCTTGACTTGTCATGGAAGCGGGCCAAGAAAGTGACCTCGCGAGGTCGTCTCGATGAGCGCCATCTTTCTGGCCGTAACCCTCCAGCTGAGGTGAGCCTTCTTTTCTTCCTGATCTCCATACAGAGATCGAGAAGGAATGGAAGAGGCCGTTTTCCTCATGCATCCATCGATTCCAGCATATGAGTTATGCCAACATCGAGGCGATGCGCGAAAACAGCTATGAGAAGATGCCCCCCGTAGAAGAGACGCTGACTAGCTATCTTACATCTGTCCGGGTCTTACATCTGCCCTTTATCTTTCCTTTCCTAATTCCCCTGCAACCACCATCTCTCCATCTGACCGAGGTTAGGTAGGAACTTCCTGCATTAGTTTCCTAGGCTGGACCGATGATGTTTGGTTGGTTCTATGGCTTCATAGTGACTACCTTACTGATGGTCCGAACTAGAGGCTTCCTCGGGTCGCTTCTTGAACGGGGCTCCTGCGTGGGAACCATGGTGTGTGAGTATGATCCCTTTCTAATATATATATATATATATATACTGTATTTAATGCGCTGGTGGTTGTGTGTATAATCCTTCTGCTAGCTTTCTTTGCAGTGTTTTCCGGGACCTGTGTGTTTCTGTCCTTTTTCTAGGGTAGGTCCTCGGTGAGCACCCCCCTCTGTTGGATTTAGAAACCGGGTGCTCGACTTGCAGTGTTTACTTTACTCGTCGATATGGTGTCCAACCGGTATGATAGCCTGTTTTCGGCTTTATGCTTTCCGGATCATGTGGCCAGGTCACAGGCTTCTGCGGGAGCCTTCTTGATCATCAGGCCCCTGGCACAGCACTGCAAAATTTCCTGGACTTCCGGGCTGGGCTTATGCTCACCAGGATGTCCCCTCTTGCTGAGGCATTGAGCGGGAAGTATAGGTGGCATTTGCGAGAACCTTCTTGTATAATACTGTCTCAGGCAGTGCTCCCCCTCGCCTTAGAGGGTTGTATTTGAGCTTGCCTCTCCCGTTTGACTCAGTACTTCTGGGTATCTTTGAACAGATGCTTGAGAATCTCTTAAATCCATGCTATGGTAAGTGCACACGCTAAGATTTGTGCACTTTCTAAAATCCATATGGTGGTAAGTGTGCACGCTGAACACTTTGCGCACTTTCTAAAATCCACATAGTGGTAAGTGGGCACGCTGAGCACTTTGCACACTTTCTAAAATCCACATAGTGGTAAGTGTGCACTTTATACTTTGCACACTTTTCTGAAATCCTGTATAGTAAGGGTTACGTGTTATTAGCCTCGTTCCCTTTCTCTGAGTTGGTTTAAACCCTGGTACCTTGGGCTCCACTCAACCAGTGTGTCTCTGTTGACACACTTTTGATGCATTGCTCCCCTCAACATTGAGGGTTATTGTGAGCATGGTGCTTGCTTTCGAGAGTTTGAACTCTCTCCCTTCTGAGGAATTGGATTCCTCGCTCCGTGGGCTGTTCTCGTGGTAGTGTTTAGCAGTGCTCCCCTTTATCAAAGGGTTGCCTATGAGCACGCTACTCCTTTCTGAATTTGGAGTTCTCCTCTCACGTGAGAGTTCAGTTCTCTGTTTTCCCAGAGCACCTGGAACCAGCAGCATCAGGCGAACTAGGCCCTTCCTCCGCCTCTCTGATGCGCTGAGTTTTTTGGCTAGCTTGCAGTACGCTTACCCTTCTGATTTCTGATGTTCGTGCTGTAGGTCAAGCAACCTCTCATTGAGAGCTGGGTGTTGTGCTCCCTCAGCTAAGGTAACTTACTGCTAGCCGTTCCACCATTGGAGCATGCTGTAGGTCGAGCCCCCTTCTCGATTGAGAACTGAGTGTGTTGCTCCCTCAGCTAAATAAATTACTGCTAGCTGTTCCAGCATTGGAACATGCTGCAGGTCGAGCCCCCCTCTCGATTGAGAACTGGGTGTGTTGCTCCCTCAGCTAAGTAACTGCTAGCTGTTCCAGCATTATACCTTAGATCGAGTTGATGACTTCTAAAACATAGTGTTTTGGGATGCCCCATTTCCATCTATGGGCTGCTCTTTCGGAGTGCCACGAGGGCCCCTTAGAACGGTATTTTTAAATAAATGTTATGGTAAGTGTGCACGTAAGTCTTTGTATACTTTCTAAAAGCCACATAAGTGGTAAGTTTGCACGCTAGTACTCTGCGTTCTTTCTAAAATCCTGTATGGTGAGAGCTTCCTGCCCTTTCTTGAGCTGGTTAAGCCCCGGTTCCTGCTTGGGCACCACTCCACCTTGTATCCTCCGGATACCCACTTTTA